CCGCCGCCCCCCTCTCCCTCTCGCGCTGGACGCAGCAAAGGGCCGCCCACAGTAGCCGTCGTCGCGCCAGCAATGCCTCCCGCTCCACAATGGCCACCCGACGTCGTTCGGGTTTGCTGACTCGGGCGGCCCTGGCCGCGTCGCCTGCCACTCGATCAACGATAACACTGCCCCTCATCACCCAGCCGCGCCAAGCACCAGCGCGCACTTACTCCGCCCCCACATGAAACGGCAGCTTCATCGCGACGATGAATGACAGCGATCGCTGCTGCTCATGCAATTGTTGACCGATGGCGACCCTGAATGACGACCTCCGGGGTGGATTTATAGCTGCGACCGCCATCCTCTGCAGACCTCGCCACGCCCCGTTACGAAAACCAACGCTCCAGATGAACAGATCGCTGCTAGCTCGAAGGCGGTGATCTCTCCTTCGGGCACTGTCTGCACTCCTCCTGGTAACGGAACCATTGGAAAAGGCCCGACCGCGATGGCAAAGTTGACACGCACTGCCTACCCGACCCGCCGCGGTCGAACACCATGCGCGCCCAGCCCGCCAGAGGCCCCCACGGAAGCCAAAACTGGACGGTCGCGCGCACGCTGACCCAAACATCTTGGGCCGACATGGTCACCCACAAGACTGCCTCCTCACCAGAATTCGCCGTCCGCGGGCGCCGCCGCCCGCGCCCACCCTGCTGGGGTCACACCTCGGCTCCAGAAACACGCACGCGCATCATGATCCACCAACGCCTCTGGCACCAGAGGCTCTGACTCTTCGAACGCTCGTCACCCTTGATTGCGATTGCACAGCCAATTCCTGTGGACGTCGGACTCTGGAGTCAGCGCACATCGATCGCACGAGAAGCGAATACCGATATGGACTGCAAACTTTCTCTCATTGGTCCACAGTCCACACTCCGCCCACTGCCGCGGTTAGCATGAGCTCAGCAAATGGTCGACATTTGCATGCACACTGTAGGTTGTCGATGAAGCGCCTCAAGCTGATCGAAAGAAACCGCCGTCAAGACGGGCCCCATAGTAGCGCAGCTCGGCGGCAATTCGCCGCTGACGCAACGGCAAACTCAACTTAAATTGCCGAGGCAAATCATCCGCCGGCGCGCACAGAGCCTCATCGTCGAATTTACAAGCACGCGGCCCCTGTACATTGTCACTCGGCAGATCCCACTCCGATGGGCGTAAGAAGGTTCCTGCCTGCCTGCCGCAAATACGCCGCCACCGTAGAGACAGAACCTCAAAACCGTCGAGCTCTCTGCGACCCGGGAGCTCCTTCATCTGCTCGACCACCTGCGGCCAGACACGAGTTACACTTGCACGAATACTGGACACGGCGATCTACACCTGCAGCCAAGAAGCAAGATACTGCCAGGGCAGGACGAGCCCTGGTCCTGGGTCGGAACGCTCATCCCGAAACCCGATCGACGTCTCCGCGCGCCTCCCTCCACGAACTGCCCCCGCTGCTGCCCCGAACCACTTGCGGGGGGAAGGAGGGGGGGGGGCACCAAAAAAAAACGCCATCCATTTGGAAACCGCGCGCTGCCACAGCCCGGAGGCCGCCCTGGACCAAGACGACGAAGACGACGACGACGACGACGACGACGACGACGACGACGACGACGACGACGACGACGACGACGACGGCCCCTCCACCTGGCCCAAAGTCCCCCTGAACCCCGGCGGCCTCTGCCCGGGGGGCTGCTGGGGACCCGGAAGAACCGGCGAATTCTTCGCGCGAGATATCGTCACGCTCAACGGCGTACCTGGCCCGTGCGAGGAGGAGGACGGAGAGGTCGGGGGGGAACTTGGCCACCCCCCGCCCGCGTCGGCCCTGCCTGAGACCGACGCAGGCGAGGGCCCCACATCCACACAAGCAACTGCCACGCCCAGTGGCTTACTTGGACAGGAAGGCTCGGGGGGCCAGGGAAACAAGGGCAGACCCGGCGACGCCCCGCCCGCGCTGATCCTGCACGGGACTGGCGCCGGCCCTACCACACAATCAGTCACCGCGCTCAACGGCTGCAGGGGACCTGGGCCCGACGGGTCGGAGGATCGCGATGCCGGTCCCCCTCCCCCGCCTCCACATCGGGAGCCTCCCACCCTCGCCGCCGCACTACGGGGCTCGCGACGAAGATTTCCCGTCTCCGGAGCGGCGCGCGCTAGCGCCCCCCGCAGCGGCACTCCCGGACGGGGGCGAGGCGCCATCCCTGGCAGGGTCGAAGAGCCCCCCGTCGAAAGGCTGCGAGAATCAGGCAGACCTCTCCTAGGGGAGGCGGGCCTTCGGAGGCGGAGGCAGCCGATGAGTCCACAGGCGCCGCCACCAGGGCGGCGGCGGCAGCCTGCGACACGGGCGGCGCCCAGGACGGAGGGGCGCCGCGCGACCGTGACCTCTACGCCGTCTGGGCCCAGAGCACGCTGCTCGACTGCGCGCAGCCGTGGCCACGCAAACGCACGCGGCCCTTCTTGAGCAAGAAGGCCAGGCTCGACCGACACGCCTGGCTGGCCCAACCTGGCACCCGATGCCACGCCCGCGGGGGCCGGGTTCGCGCCGCCGCCGCAGCGCGCAGCGCTAGCCCGCGTGGGCACCGCGCGCTGCCACCCGGGCCCGGTCTTGGCCACACCCAGCTGCCGCCAAAATTACAGCAAAGCCTGGCTGGGGGCGGCTCCACAATGGACTACCAGGTGGTGTGCATTATGCACGAGGCAGCCCTCCGGGGTCCCGCTTTCCCTCCTTCCAGCGCTCTATTCACCCTCCATGCGCTGTTTCAGCGCCTGCAGCCCTGGCCTACGCCCTGGGTGTTGGCGCTCCTGCACTGGTTCTACTTGCCCATCATTTTCGGACTGCTGCCCTGGCGGCGCCCGCGGGTGCGCCCCGGCCCCGGCCTCGGCTGCTGCTGTGGCTCCACCGCCTTGGCCGGCCGCTCCGGCCCGCTCGACCTGGAACTCTTCCGCGTCCGAATGCTTCCCCTTCTCTTGCATGCCGGGCAATTCGCTTTTCGGTGCCCCCGTTTGGCCTCACGCTGGCGCGGATTGCGCCCGCCTCGCCGCCGGCGAAAAAAAGTTGCCGTAGCCTGTCCTGCACGCTCAATACGTGTTGATGTTGCAAACTCACCCGAGTTAGCATGTTGAAGCCCTGACTTGGCCACGCGCACGCGGCTTCTTGCCGTGATCTTCGCATGCCGAATTCTACTGCCCATGTTCACTCCCACATATACAGACTGAAAAGCCGCCGAAATCGGAACACCTCTGCGCTCGAGAATTCAAGCCACCAACATGGCATCTGCACGTGACAAACATGCGACCAAACTCTTGGCCACACAAAATTCAAAGATACCTTGCGGAACTCTGCCAAGGTGTCAGTGCTGCCCACCAGTCATGCCCCCTCGCACTTGCTTCATCGACCCCCCCGCTCCTTGCATCATATCATCGATCCAGATACTTTCAGACATCCTCGGACGCATGAAACAAAGCTGCTGCAGCACGAAGTAGGCGAAGCACCTGCCGACGCGAGCGCACTTGCGCACAACTTCTACAATGCTCCTGGATAACTGAAACAGGGAGAGAATAAGGGTTTAACTGGGGCCATACCCGCGGGCAGACGCATGCCTTTACTTCCAAGGAAAGCGCCACTGGGGAAACATCCAATTTGCAGCCGTGCCCGCTAGCACTGGCATATCGATATTATCATACAAAGATTCAATACCAAATGATATCAATGAGGGTTTCACCTGGTACCAAATAACTACGCCCATAGACCTCCGAACACCTCGGACGAAGGCCTTTTATCAAGGCACATTTCCCTGTCCCTGCCGCGCCCCACCTCGGAACCGACTCGGCCGCCCACAGACGCATCCGATCTGCTCTCGCCACGCTCCACAAACAGCTGATCATCGACATCAATCCTATCACTCGGTCCCCATCCAGACTTCGCCCCAGGAACCGACCCACCAACCCACCACTATCATCGAGTGCCAAGGCCATGCAAGGCCCTGTTTACTGGAAGGAGATACAACCAGCAAAAATTGTTCCTGTCCAGCGTCTGGTAATCTTTCAAACTCACGGGGGAATACTGATCGCAACCCAAGCCTGCAAGAGGCTTCATAATTGCCAACGCTCGCATCAGGTCAGAAACAGTGAGGAGTTCCATCTGCTCCACCTGGGCTAACTCACGTACTGCGTCCATCGTTCGCACGTATGTCTCCAGGTCCAGAGTCTCCGACTTCCACAGCTTGCGGTACCTCTGAGCATTCTTGTAGACGATGTCGATAGGGTGAGCAGCACATTATCCTTCGAAATGCAGCTCATCAACGTCGACTGGCATATGCTTATTGCTTGTGTGCATTATGTCCACAGCTCCCGTCGTGCCTATCCACTCCTGAAATTCTCGAAGCGACTGACTCGTCGCTCGTGCACGTGCTCGCTTGACTCCCCGATCAACTACCTTCCGTACTCCCTCAAGCTGAGACAAGGAACTGTCTTGCAGGCTCCGCACCATGCTTAACCAAGAATCCCATGTGCCACAGCCAGTTGAAAACAGATCGTGAACACCTGCTGGCGCCGTCGTCGCGAGTTTGAACACACTGATACTTAGCTGTCTTACCTGCACTTCTCCCGAAGGAGGAGGAGGAGGAGGAGGAAGAGGGAGGAGGAAGGGCTGAAGTATCGTTGGGGAGGAAGAGGAGGGACGGGGAGGAGGAGGAGGAGGAGGAAGAGGAGGAGGAGGAGGAGGAGGAGGAGGGGGGAGGAGGGAGGAGGGAGGAGGACGAGGAGGACGGATGAGGACGACGAGGAGGGGATAGGGAGAAGAAACAAGAAATTAACAAAAAAGAGGAAAGGAGAGAGAAGGGAAAAGAGACGAGAGGGGGAGGAGCGAGGGAGAGGTAGAAAAGGAGGGAGAGAGGGGGGAGGGAGAGAGGGAGGGAGAGAGGGAGGGAGGTGGTAGGGCTCGGAGGGAGGGCGTGGCAGATGCTCTCTCCAGGCCGACCAGC